TGCTGGGATCTTGCTGGGAACGTCTTTTTACTGTGCGTCAAACTCATGTGTCCCCTGCATGACAATGATTTTATTTGTTTAATTAGCACCTGCCAGTTCATCTCTTGGATACCTTCATTCCTGTGTTTGTAAAGCGCCCAGCTCAGCAGGGCTCGGCCTGGCTGAGGCCTGCGGAAGGTCCTGCAGTGTAAACACAAAGTGCTGATGCGAGGCACTTCAGGCATAGTTTCTCCTTCAGACTACAGAAGTAATTCGCCAGCTTTTTCCAAAATCACATATTTAAATGCAAAAGTAAGTCTTTGCTGGCTTTACAAAAGGCAGCGTGTTTCCCAAAAATTGAACTTTTGACTGTGAGTGTGCGTTTAGCTGGGAAGAGTAAAGCCTTGGTTCTATCTGTGCCTGGCGACAGCAGCAGTAACCAGTGACCCCCAGTTGTTGCTGTGTCTGAGCTGTGAAAGCTATTGCTGGCGTATGGCCTTGCCCTGTGTGGACATCGTTTGGATGTGCGGGTGTCCCCTTAGCTCACTGGGTAATCAAGCCAGGCTTTCCATTTCTATCTTAGAATCTCATATTTTTCCTAAAATTTTGTTACTATTTAAACTGATCTTAAATTACCTCACAAGAAGTAGTTCGGGGTGGGGGGAAAGAGGGCTTTGTTAGTTTTTAATCCTGTGCTGGTAGTTTATGCAGCACTCCTGAGCTGTTTCCTAAACAAGATTAGTTTTGGTTTCTGATACCAGTGATGTTGATTTCTAATCTGAGAAATAGCTTCTTACTTCCTACTCTGCTAAATTATATTGACAGGAGTCCCAATAATCATGAAAATACTTTTAAAGAAATACCAAAGGTGCATAGAGCAACTAGAGCAGTTTGTTGCTGGATTTTCTACACATGAACTTTATTTCAATGAGTGTGGCTACTGTACAAGATAAATGAGAAAAGAAGAGAAGGTAAAAATCAATATTACGAAGGAATTACTTAGTGGAAGAAATTTTAAGAGGTACAATGTGTTTGGATCAGTGAATTTGAACTGAAATAAATGCCACTAGATCTCTTTTCCTTGCAAAGAATTGCAGTGCAAGAGCTTCTTGGAAATAGTAAATCCTCTCAATATTATACTGCAGTGAATTAATATTTATTTCTTATGCGTGTGTAACCTGAGGCTCAAAAAATTGACTCTTTGGCCTGAGTTTTTACAAAGCCAAGTATGAAATCTAGAGGATTTTGTCTATCAGCCTTGCTCTAGCCAGTGAGCAACATCTTGCTTCTTGAAAAAACTGGGAGTGCTGAGAGCTCAGTCCTGCCTTGCGGTGGTTGGTGCCATTTTCCAGAGTTTTCTGGAGTAAGAGCAGGGTCTATAAATCTCACCATTATCTCATTAAAAACAACCAAATGTTTGGGACTAGGAGATAGCAGGGCCTGAAGTCCTTACTGGTTTCCCTTGGAGTAAACTCGGAGCTGTTTTTGACTGTTCAAAGGGAGCCACATCCAGATCTCTCCTGATTGGAAAAACATGGACCGGGAGAAAATGCCAAGACCCGGAGCTGCCTTCTGTCTCCAGCACCAGTGTCAAAACCTTTGAAAATTTGAGCATGAAATTGGGGTTTTGAGGTTTGCATCTCGCTGATGTCGACAGGAGAGCAGCCAGCAGGCCCACCAGAGCACCCAGCCCTCGCTGTGTCTGCGCCGAGGGGCTGACCCCGCTTCCCTCTGTGTCCGCCGGCCTCAAGTTGTGCTTTTTTCATATTTTAGATATGTTTCCCGCCTTGGTTTGAAAACTTCTTACATAGACAGAGGTCAGACCTCCTGTGTTTAAACAGAAGAAATTACATAGGTGTAAGTGGTTATTTCTCATTCCTCATTGACATTTAATGACTGCTATGGGTCAAGCTTTGCCTGAAACTTGCTATTTGCGTACCTGCCTTCTAACAGTGACTTGGAAAATCTCTTTTCAAGGGAAAGTAGAGGCCTTAAAAGTGAAATTACGAAACTCAAGAGCCTCAGGACACTTGATGGGCAATGTCTTTCACTTGTGACTCACTAATAACAGACTGAACCCCTTGGACTTTGGGCTGAATTTAGTGCACTTGCTGCAGCTGTTAGCAAGCAACTGCTTGTTAAACTGCGAGCTATTTTCCTTTGAAAAGTATTTCAGTCATGCTTGTCATAACTAGAATTTGGAAGTCATTTTAAGTAGATCCTCTTCCAGACTTGACCCGGAATTGGGTGATGGACTGGAAAAGGCTCGTGGCCTTTTTAGAGCTCAGTTCTTGAAATGAATCGACCTAGAAGGCCGGGTGCTGGAGAGGGCTTGCAGCAGCGACCTGGTGGCAGGCGCCTGCCAGGCGGAAGGCGGTTGTGATGCCCAGGAATGTCACTTGTGGAACTTGTTTGAGCAGCTTTTGGATGGCTTCATTGTTTGTGCTGCACGGAGTAGGGCGGCTTGGCAAGGAGCAGCTTCGCCATCACCTCCCCGAGCCGATCGGGGCACACCAGTACAGCGGCTTCGACTGCAGTTTTGGCTTGTGCTGTGCTTTCTGTATGTTCGCAGGAAAGACCCTTCGTGCTCTGTCAGCAGCCAGAACAAAACCTGCTCATCTGCGTTTCGCTCCTTATGTATATAGGCAAGAAATTGCAATGTCCTGTTGTTGAGGTCTGCTTTCTAAACGCTCATTGTAAGGCAAAGAAGAGGGGGCACCCCAGTTTGTGCTGTAAATATGTGCAACTCTTAGTGATGAGCGAAACTGGTCCTTTCACACAAAAAAGCCACAGGACTTCAGAACTTGTAAACATCTTAGCTCAGAGCTTCCCACAACAGACTGAGCCCTCAGGTGTCGTTAAATGAGAGAACGTGTGGACAGTTCATTGCTTAGTATTGTAATTAGATAAAAGTAAATTCGTGAGTTTAAAAAAATAATCGAATGTTCTAGGCTGTCACCAGAGAACTGCACTCGCTGCGGTGGCTTAGCCCTGTGCTTGTTAGAGGTGGGGTAATGGAGGGGAGAATGTCGCTTGGCTTGTCAGGGATGCCATGGACAAATGAACTGGACTGAGTGCAGAATGATGCTGTGAACACGCTGGAAATGAAAAGCAGAAACACTGGCTTACAAAGGAGCACAGGTGTAATTAATTAAAATAATATTAAAAAATCAGAAAACCAGCTTGACAAATCATGATGTCCATACGAATGTGTTACTTTACAGAATCCTTTAGATAAAATGTTTCAAGTGTGAAGTTATCAGAACAATAGTGACTTTATTACAGTGCAGTTTAACTCCTTGTGATGTTCTTTGAACCAAAGTTAGACTACAGTAGAGAATCGTACTGGTCCACTGGATTTGCAGTTAGGTATGGAAGTAATTGTCTAGTGTTAAAGCTGAGGTCTGTGATTTAGGGATTTTTGTTTTTAAGCTGAAATTCCAAATGCTAAGTGACAGTTTTAAGTTTATAGACCTCTGCTCAAATCTGTCTGTGTAAGGCACCGCCGTCCGTCTGTGTCCAGGGTTGCGTTCGCTTGGTACTGGAAACAGCATGGGCAGCAGGAA